CCCCCCCCCCCAATTTATAAGATTCCACTTTCAGGCAGCAAGAAGTCCTATGCCCTCATGATGATCCCTAACTCTTCTGACAACATGTATGTTATCTCCAACATTTCACACCATTTATTAAGTTTTAATAGTCATTCCCCATCTGACGAAGCTTCATCAGACTGGTCAGAGGAGGGTCCTTTTGGAGGGAGCAGTTGCTTCTGAAGCACAGTGGCAAGCCCTAGGTCTCTGACAACTTGTGCGTTTTATATCAAAACTCTTATGCTGCCCAAAATGTACCTCCTCCCTAGCCCCATGTTAATTGTAGGGACAAGAACAGGATGGGAGGGAGTTGTAGCCCATGTTGTCAAACATCAGGAAGTACAGCTCCTTCTGTGGAGGCAGCTGCCCCCCTACTGTGAGAGAGCGGAAATAGCCAATAATGTGAGTTTTTCTTGGCAGAAATGAGTGGAGTTATGTGGAGTTGGGGAAATTGCTGTTTGTATATTGAAGAGCAAATTTTGAAAAGCAGCCGGGCCTGTGATCTTATGAAAGTGCATATAGGAGCGGAGTTTGTGGGAACTGCGATTCCTTAGGTGAAGGTAAAAAATGGTGACACCGAGAGAGCCAAAAGCTTAATAAAAATATATTTTCCCAGGGAAAACAGCTAGATATCAAACCCTGAAAAATTAAGAAAAGTTCCATTGTCCTCACTTTTAAGTACTGGGTTAAATCAGTAACGTGAGAAATAGCAGAACCAAATCTTATTTTAACTACAAATCCCAATACAGGCTTAACCAACACCTCTGTCGTAACAAATGTTCCAGCACTGGTTGTTGAAGCGCTCCAAGGTAATGTAAATAAAATCATTATAAATGGGCAAACTCTTGTGCAAGTTTCTTTTTAAAAGGAAGAAAGAGTTTGATAGAGATCTTGAAGGCTATAGATATAAATACATACAGATGACAACTGGATCTTGCTAAGATGCATATCTTTTGGAAAGTATGTTGTAGAGGATGGTCCAAATTGTGGGTCCATTGGGAGCATTCTGACTGGAATGGCCTCCTAAGAGTTCTCAGTTTTTGCTTTCATTGTTGTGCACCACATTTAATGAACATTAAATCAAAACTCTTATCAAAACTCATTTGGCTAATGAAACGATTTACATATTTGGCAGGGTTATCAGGCTGGGCTCCCGCAGTCCCCAAGACCATTTCCGCTCAGTTCTGGGACTGTATTCCCCATAAGAAGGAGCAAAGGCAACCAAATAATATAAACAAATCTCTTGGATATCGTGCAAAAAAATCTCCACTGAAATAAGTCAGAGGGCCAAACTGCTGAACATGTGGAACTTATGCCAAGATGTGTTCTGGGCAATGTGATCACTCGGGGGTCCCACGACACTTGTAAATCACACGTGATTATACGATCATTTCTATTCAAGGCCCAATGTATTCCACAGCTGCAGAATCCCCTGTTGCTGCTGAACTGTGACCCAAGAGCTAAGCTTCCAAAACCGATTGGCTTGACTTTTCCACTCTCAGAAGCTTTATGCTGGTGCAGCTCACCAACTTGAAGGGAGTCCTTGGAGTTGTGAAAACTGGAAGGTGTAGTCCAATGTAGGGCTTTTTCCTCAGGTGAAACAATAGCACCAAAATGTCGTACTCAACTCAATGGGTTTGATTTCAAATTTTGGCCTCCCTAGACGTAGGGTACTTGTAGCAGTAACCATACCAATGCAAGTCTGCCAGCATAGATACTCTGCACTGATATGGCTTACCTCTTGTAACAGCACCAGCAGTGCTGCCACAAATGGAATGAGGATTTACTCAGCAACTTTAACTATTTTGCTGCTGATCATTTTAGCAGAAGACAATGTTTTTAATTTCACCTACCTTTCACTTAACTACTCGAGTCAGTTTTGGAAGTGCAGCTAATCTCTGTACGTACTGTAATGCCAAAATAATGAGCCTGGGGAGCTACCATACTGACTCTGTTGATTTTGTAATTAAAAATAAATGATCATTTAAGCACATTTGCTGCATAATTTCCAGCCTGCCACATCAGTGTGCTGCAGAATCCAGAACCACGCCGTAGAATTTAGGTCCAGCCTGTTATGGAGTCCATTGGGTTCAGCTGTTTATCATTGTATGGCACTTGGCTCCATGTCAGGTGAAGCAGTCATTCTGCCTCAGGTGAATGTGATTTTAAATTTTAAATTATTCTTAATTGGGAACATAGAAACAATGCAGCTGCCCTAATGGCAGCTGATTTTCTTCTGCCAGAGGGGATGCTTAACAGCACAAAACCTTTGACACTCCAAATGTTTGTTATTACATGTGCTTCCTTCTGATGAATGTCATGCTTTCAGGCTGTCTACTTATTACTACATTTCTGAGCTGTGCTTAAGGAAAAATGCTCTGTGTCCATCGCTCTGAGTTCACAGTGTAGGACTCAGCTGTGCAGAACATAAGCGGTCGTCTCTGAAAGAGCCGCCTTCTCTTAGGGAGAGAAGTTGCGTGCTGACTTCCTGGAGGTTCCAACATAATGAATCCTGTTTCTCCTGGAGCTCTTGTAACAAACATACATTTTAGGGGCATAGGTAAGGAAGGATTTAAAGTGTTTTGAAGCTTTTGTGTGGAGAAGGTTGGGCCTCAGAAGGGATGGATAGCTACCTTCCAACTGCAAAACTTTACTCTGCCCCAGCTGCTGAGGGGGGTTTAATGCTGTACAGAACAAAGTAAAGGACTAATTGTTTGGTGTTTTATATTTCCCCCTTAGATTACCAGAAAATTCAGGCTCAATTCTGATGGGAAGCTAGAACAGACTGTCTCCATGGCAACCACTACACAGCCGATGACTCAGCACCTTCACATTACCTACAAAAAGGTGACACCTTAAATAAGTGGGGAGAGGAGGGTTCCCCTGCGACATGGGAGGAGCCTGGACATTGTGCACTGAGAACAGAAGCAGCTCAGGAAAGAAACACAGCAGCTCTCTTGAATCTGGGTGATCCACATTCACTCCTGACTTCAGGAGGGGGAGGGAGGTGACACTGGTGCTGTTGAGAATGTTACTCAGATGTTTCTGTAATGGTATATTAAAAAACCAAATAAAAAGCCTTTATTTTTATGCCTGTGGCTTTGGACATTATTGCTGTGTGTGGGCTGTAAATCCCTTTGCTCTGGCAGTGATTAAATAAGAGGGTTCTCAAGCCTGTTTCCTAGTGAGTTAGGAGAGCTGTCAAGTTCAGCCTTTTCATCTTTCTACATGATCTGAAGCAGATTGCCACAAATAAACTAGGAGCATGAAAACATCTACAGTACAGAGAGAACTCTCTAGAATTTGCTTATGAAATAGGGACTGAAGATGAGAAGAGAGCACCTCCTGTAACTGAAAGGAGAGACTTGCTTAGAGGTCTGGAACCCGCAAGGTGTTTAGCAATCTCACTCCTAAGTGATTTTTGAGACCCTTCCACTCCCCTTTACTTCAATGGAGAATCAGGCCCTAAAGGATCTCATTCAAGGTCAGTCAGAATTGTTCTGCTAACTGCAAGGGACTTTGGTCAGACCCAGAGTGAGTCCTCCATCAGTACAGGAGGGAAATAGCTCTGCAGATGAGACTCTTATCAGCTTAATTCAAAACACAGTGAACCTGTCAGTGAAGGTCACAAGGCAGAGTAGCGCTTAAAACTTCAATAAAGAAAGATTGATTGATTTGTGCAGTATCATCTTGGACTTTGGATTTGTGGTTCAGTCTTTGTCATAGCTGAGTTGCTGATTTACAACATCAAAAATACTGGTAGTTCTTCGTGAGAGGTAAGCATATGGTGTGAAGAATTTTGAAAAATAGTGAAGCCACTTTCTAGTTTGGGGCAGATGGATCAGGTATATGTTTCTGGAAAGGGGTTTAAAGGAAACTTTGTAACAAACTTCTTAAGGAAGGGGATTTTTTTAATTACTTTGCCAAGACTTCTGCTGCCTGTTTTAGATAAGACTGCATGCTTATTTTAGTAGCTATTTGTTCCCTACAGATTTTATTGAACATTAAACACACTTTCAGGTCCTAGAGGACTATATAAAGTTCACTAAAAGCTTTGCTTTGTGTACAGTTGTGCCAGCAGTTTGTAATCCCTGTGGGTCAAAATGTTTGGATTCAAAGAAGTTACAGGATCTTCTGAGTTTGATTTTAATCTCCAACTGCCAAACCACTTGGGTTCAAGAAGCTTACATCAGTGTTTAGATTTGAGCACTGGGTTTTCTTATGTATACTCTTCATGTCACATCTCTAAGGAACCAATCAGTCTACAGCAAATTATTGCCTATAAATGCTTATAAAACGGCTAAATAAATGCCAAGGCAAGAATACACAGAAGAGAACATCTTGTAAGACTGAGTTTTTCAAATTTATCTGAGGGATCTTGGACACCCAGTTTCATTAATTTTAATTTATGCATGCATTTTAATTATGCAGCTTTGGTCATTACAGGGAGAACTTTAAAAAAAAAAGTTGATTTCTTTTAGTGTTAAAAATTGAAAGTGAGGAAGATTGGAGTTAGATTTTATATAAAACCTGAATTCTGTTACTGTCTCGCATTGTGCTATGCTTTGTCAGTATCAAGTGCAGATCTGGTAAATGAAGAACTGCTCATATTTTTAAATTATCAGTAGGAAAAAATAATACAATGTTGCAACTATCTTTTGGGGGCATGTCAATGAGATCAATTTAGCTTTGTTCAACTGTTTTGAAGGAGGTGGTACTGCGACCATTATTTGAAGAGCGGGTGGCATAAAGATAATTATGAAGTTGATGAGGTGTTAGTTAGATCCTTATTGAGATTGGAGTTGGTCAGAAAATTTCCATTGAAACAGTTGATAGAACATGACTTTTCAATTAAGTTCCTTTTTGCAAACAGGAAGTTCCACTGGTCGAGCACTGAAATTCTCATAGAGAAACCAAAAGCTAGAGAGAGAAAATTATTGACACACTACAGTCTTTTTAGTTTTTGTGAGATGAGAGGCATCTTCTAACCAGATGAGTAGGGAGATGAACCAAACTCTCTCTGCCTTCCATTTGTTTGTTTTTAAGTTGGAAGATAACTTAATATCAAACTCTGAACAGAACACAAGTTAATAATGCTGAACACTCACCTTTTTTCCTTATAAAGCAAAATAAATTAGAAACACTGTCTAACATTCCTGGTGCCCTTAACCACTCATATAAAAGCAAATTTCAGCCTAGAAACCAGGAGCAGCCTTCTCCCATCCCAAACATCCAATGGTTGACCACCCTCATAGTCAAAAAGTTCCTCCTAATCTTCAACCTAAATTTACAATAAGTAAACTGGATAGTTTAAAAGAAATGAGGAAAACTGTCCTGCTGTCCTAGGATATTACTCCCTGAGCCAATACAAGACTTAAGTGGCTGTTAAAATGTCTTGCTGGCTCGCAGACAGTGAGATGAGTTTAATTTGTGTTCTACCACATATGGTATATATATCACACAGGTGAACTATGCTACTAGATAGGGAGAGGATGAAGGGTAGTTTATTGGGGATTACCAGCTTTCTAGATTGCAACTGCTACTTGCTTCTCAGCGGTCATGTATAGTATCATGCTGGTGACTTGCCATTGGGGCCAGCTCAGTTCAGAGGAAATAGTGTGAGGAAGAGGGCCCTGCTTATCCTGAAGTTTTGCTACCAGTGCTCATTGTCCCAGATCCTTAGAGCTATTGGCTCCCACCAGTTGCCGCTTGCCTCAAAGGCCCAGAAGGATAGTCCTAGACAGAAAGTCATCCTCCATGGAGTGCTCATTTCTTCTTTCTTAGGCATGTTGCTCTCGGATGTTGTAGCACATGTTGAAGTGCTTTCACTGAGAGGAGCCTGGAAGTCTGTATGCTACTGATATGCTTCAGATTAGGGTAGGATTTGAAGCCCTTTGCATGCACATCTATCAGTAGCCTATAAGGAGCAGCAGTTTCAAGCATCATTACTGTGCCAAAAGTTTTGGCTCAAAAAAACGGAGTCTGTTATGGGTCACGTTTTGCCACTCACTCAAAGTTGTTTGTTCAATATCTTTGCAAGGTCTTGTTGTATATAAGTTTTCTAGATAAGAAATGCCCAGTAAACAAGTGTAGGTTATGGGAAGTATAGTGCTACTTTGAAACATTAAAAAGGATAGCAAATAATGGGACTTAAAGCAAGGTTTCCATCCCACTTACTTCAGGAACCATAGGGGGTGAGACGAGTATGACAGCAAGTCCATCTGATAGCTTTGATTGTTACTGAAGCACCCTTTGACAAATTCCCTGTTAACTACAAAATCAGATTTTCCTCTCAGCTCTTACACATTTGACCCAATGTGAATTTTCATAGCTTCATCAAAGGAGCAAAGCTTCTTTTGTCTGAGCTTGTCAACAAAAAAAAAAAAAGGCATGCACAGGGGGAAATACTGCCATTAGCTCCAGGCCTGAGCCTCTCAAGGACTTGATAGAAACAATGTTAGATGTGTGAAGGCAGCATCTGGAACCAGGGGAGGGTTTGGATTCTTTTTTTATTTATTCATTTATTTTTAAAGTTCTTTTCTGGGAAATCTTCATGAAGTCAGACAAGTGGAACACCCTGCCCGTATCATTTCACTGCAGCGGAGTTTCCTGTATTAAATGCTTGTGCATCTAACCCCCTTCCCACCCACGCACATTCTTGTTGAGCAATGGTCCTTTATTTGGCTTATCATATTTATCATTTTATGCTGCCTTAGTTGGTGTATTTAACTCTTCAAGAACCTCAGTTTAATAGTTTCTTGGTGCCAGCAATTTGCTCAAAACAGTTGCAGCCTGAAACACTATTTCAAAGCAGCCTCAAACTCCTGATCAAACAAATCTCTGAAAAGTGTACAGTGCTGGATTTGGGGTTTTCTAGCTCCGTTAATCTGCTTGCCCTCTAAAAAGCTGGCCAAGATGACACACGTTGTACTTTACCATGTGCTAAATTGGTTGACTGAAAATCTACATAGCCTATATGTTGTTAGGATTTTGGGAATGCTCTATACAGTTTTTATATCACAATAACAATTGGTTTAGGAACCTAAATTTAAGGGATTCAGCTTCCTGAAAATCACCCTCAAATCTATGGGACTGCATCCATGTTCAGGGATTGCCTGGTTTTTGCTTTATGTGCATCTGAACAGAGGTTTTTTGCATTGTCAGAAGTGTGCCTAACCCAGTTTTAATAGGCATTAGCTAATGTGATCTAATTTACAGTCTTCCATCTGATCTAGGCTCAAAAAATTTCTAACAGTGCTATAACTATTAGGAGTATGGAGAGAGAGAGAGAAAAAAGTGTTCTGATCAAAGAGCCACTATCAAAAAGACCTACAGTTGTATTGGCAAAAAATCCTTCTGCCAGTTTAATGTGTTTTGTTTTAAGGAACCAGCACAAAGTAGTGCACCATGAAAGAACTCTTGTCTGGATGGTTCCTCCAGCAAATCCTCTCCAGTGTAATAATGCCTGAGGCTTCACACAGCTTCAGAAGGAAGTATGTTTTATTTCCTCTTAAGCCTTCTCTGCAGTAGGAGCACTTTTATATCAGAACACCTGTACACAATACTGACAAAACACTTACTACGGGCGCATCTATAATAGCTAAACTGTTCTTTGTACCAGTAGTGGAAAACCACCCATTAGGAGGGAAACACACACAGTTTTGCCAGAATATAACTGCATCTACACTACCTCTACCAGTGAGGCTGTATCAGTCAGAGATCATGCCTCTGCACCATCACCTGACACAGGTGTACCCTCAAATGTGTGCGTAGACATTACCTACCTGTGAAGGGGGACTGAAGGACAAAGTTGTTTTTTTCAAGCCCACAGTTCCCAACCTCTTTCCCATCTTTAGCAGGTAAAATCCATGTTTTTTTTTTCCCCCTAGGTTTATACAGTTAAAAAAACTCCCAAGCATTCATGCAGGCTCCCAATCCCATCAAAAAGGTTTTCTGAGCCTTAGAAGCAAAGACGTCCATCTGGTAGACATTTAGTCAAAGACTTCAGTTTTAAGTGGGCTCTAGTGAGGCCACTCACCATTAAATCCTTAGGATGCCTGTAGAAGTATGGGGAGACTGCTCTAATGCACTATAATTACAGCGCATTGGAGCAGACTCAATTAATTGAGTCTGCAGGAGCATGCTAACCAGCACAGAGATGCGGATACATGAGACGCTGGGGGTGCTTTCATTAGAGCGGCTTTCGAAGCTACTGTAATTAAAGCGCCGGCCCCCCCCCCCCCCCCCACAGCGGCCATCTTATTAAAGAGCCGCCCCCCCCCCCCCCCCCCCCGAGTATGTGTAAAAATGCCCTCAGAGACTGAAGACAAAGCTTCACTAAGGAAGAAAGAGGCATACTTGTGCGTTAGCAATGTAAGTTAAAATCAAAATATAAATAAGGTTGTAGTTTTAACTCATACGGCGGAAAAGGTGATGTTCTAACATGGTTCAAACACTGATGTCTATACAATGTTGTGGGGTTTTTTTGAGGGTTGGAGGAGTGTATTTTTAACTCTAGAAAGAAATACAGTGTTCCTCACCAGTTAGGCCACCTATTTTTTATTGTTTATCACAATGGAAGATTGCAAGTTGCACTTCATAATATGCTAAAAGAAACATTTATCTGTCACTTTTGATGCACTTCTTTTCATAACATGATACTGCTCACTTAAAGTTTTTGCTACCACTCCCCCCCCA